ATCCGAGAAAGAAAAGCACGCTATTAGAAGCAATATTATGCACAAAATTTGAAAGGAAGAGCTATGACCAATTTCCAAACGCGAGATATACGCGTATATACTTTGTACAATTAAAGCGAGAGCTGGAAATGTGTTATCTCAGCAAAAAGAGCACTACATATTTGCAGCTAGAATTTAATACATTGAAACAAAAGCCGGGAGACTCGGCAAGAGCGTTCGGATTACGCACAGATAAATTAGCATGGAATTATATGAATCCATGATTGAAGGGCGACAGGACAAAACAGAATCGAAGAGAGCGATCTTAGACACTATACAACAACAAGCCTTATATAACTTTAAGCTAGGATTGCAAGACGATATAAAGTTGTTAGTGCGTGCACAATACTACACGACATTGCAAGACGTCGGCGCGAGTGCGGAGGAAAAATTCAAAAGACGGGGAATTTCGCACATTCGAAAGCAAATATATCTCATCCATCCGCGAGAATAGACTGCCGCAATGTCACAAATGCGGAAAGACAGGGCACTATGGCCGAGATTGCCGAACGAATAAATACACGAATCGATTCCCTCTACTACAACCAGACAGACAGCCGCGTATAAACACAATGAGTAAATACTGCACGCACTGCGGAGAAAGGAGGACATAATCATGTAGACTGCTGGATACTTCACGGTAAAATCGAAAAAGACACCCGCCAATTCAAAAATAGTAATGCAAATAATAATGCGAATAAATATTATGATAAAAATGAAGCGAGATAAACCGCGAAGAGAGAACGCTGACTCAGCGTCAAGCAGTAGTAACGGTGAAGAAACGACAGAAGGCCAGGGTTACGTGCACGATCGGGAAGTATCAAGTTGCACAAGTAATGTGAGGAGAAACGGGCAACGGGCTAAAATTGGTAACACTATCAATAGAAAAAGTAAAAAAGGGTAAGGCAATCTTTCTACTAGACACCAGTGCTACCCTCACCTTAATGAAAATCGGAAATTTCAAAAGAGAAATTCCGGTGCATGACCAGTGAGAAACGCATTGCGTTAACTGGCATGACAGGACATAAGATCCACACGCTAGGAAAGATGAAACTGACAATAAAATTAGGAAAGGAAGAAATTCACTCAGTATACGTGAGAGATGATTTCCCTGTGGATTATGAAGGAATACTCGGAATTGATTTCCTAGCCAAACAAAAGGCAAAATGCGATCACGGAAAAAAGATATTGGGTATCGGCAAAACAAATCTAAAATTGCAACCATACTAAAAGGTACTGCTGAAACCACGTAGCGAAACAATAATTGAAGCATTTATTAATAGAAATCAAGTGGGTATAATAAGGCAAGAGCAATCGAAGCCAAGAGTATTTATCGGATGCTATCTGGTGGACCCCAAGGAATTCACCTGTCCGATAAATATAATAAATACGACAGAAGAACCCGTTGAAATAAGCACACCGATGGTAAACTTAGAAGAGATAGAGACACAGAGCGTTGAAATGCTCAATACGATGAAAAAGGACATCGAGACTGTAGGCGAAAGAAGAAAACGAGTGCGAGAACAATTACGCTCAGATTATCTTAACATTGAAAAGAAAGAAACGCTGGAGCAAATATGTAATGACTACGGTGATATATTTCATTTGGAAGGTGACTCACTCTCGCACACGACCGCAATGCAACATGAGATCACCACGCGCACGGATAGCGGTCAACGTCCGACCGTACCGTCTGCCTGAAAAACACAAAGCGGAGGTGAATAAGTAGATAACGAAAATGCTCGAAAAAAATTATTCGATCAAGCACAAGTCAGTGGAATGCACCAATATTGGTCATTTCGAAGAAGACCGAATAACTAAACTACGCATTGTGTTATGTGCGAGTCACGACGTAATGTGTAAAGGAATTAAGAATTCAGAGAATTCATAGGATTGTTGTAAGGTTGAATTTTATTTCTCGCACACGATACACTTGACGAGATTGTGATGTTTTTCCTTCGAGTTTTTG